GGGTACTGACCCGTACATCTCGGCCGCCGAGCGCTTCACCCCCGCCTTGCCCCGGTTCACCTTCGGCTCGGCCGCCAGGTTGATGTCTGGGGGGGGGGAAACGGGGGGTCAGGGGGGTCTGTGTGGGATTTGGGGGGGTCTGTGTGGGATTTGGGGGGGTCTGTGTGGGATTTAGGGGGTCTCTGGGGGTCAGGATGGTCCCAAATCCCCCCCCTCCGCCGTGACCCAGAACACCCCCAGGTGTGCCCAGGTGAGCTCACCTGGCGCCCGCACACCCGCCCGGGTGTGGCCCCGCCCCTGCCCCACCCTCCTGGGGGCAAGGAATGACCCTAAATGACCCAGAACTGACCCCAAATATCCCAGAACTGACCCCAAACTGCCCCTAGATGGTCTGTGGGGTGTCTCACCGAGCACCTGCCCCACGATCATCCTGCCGTCCCCATGTGAGTGTGCTGACCCCAAACTGCCCCTAAATGGCCCCAAACTGCCCCTAAATGGCCCCAAACTGCCCCCAGATGGTCTGTGGGGTGTCTCACCGAGCACCTGCCCGGCGATCATCCTGCCGTCCCTGTGTGAGTGTGCTGACCCCAAACTGCCCCTAAATGCCCCCAAACTGCCCCTAAATGACCCCAAACTGCCCCTAAATGGCCCCAAACGCCCCCAAACCCCCGTTACTGCCCCAAAACCTCACCCAAGACCTGCCCGGCGATCATCCTGCCGTCCTCGCCGGCGACGGCGGCGCGGGCGTTGCGCTCGTTGACGTACTGGACGAAGGCGAAGCCCTTGTGCACGGAGCAGCCGACGATCTTGCCGTACTTGGCGAAAATGGCCTCCACGTCGCTCTTCTTCACCACCAGCGTGTTCAGGTTCCCGATGAACACGCGCGAGTTCAGCGACCGCGGGTCCGTCTTGTTCGTCACGTTGCTCGCCATGGCCGGGGCTGCTGGGGGGGACGAGGGGGGTGAGAACGCACGGGGACGGCTCGGAACGGGCCAAGAACCGCTCAAAAACACCCGGAAATGGCTCAAAACTGCCCAAAACCGGCTCAAAACCACCCAGGAATGGCTAAAAATGACCCCAAAATAGCTCAAAACTGCCCAAAAACGGCTCAAAACCACCCAGAAATGGCTCAAAATGACCCAAAACCGGCTCAAAACCACCCAGGAACGGCTCAAAATGACCCAGAAATGGCTCAAAAACACCCAGAAATGGCTCAAAATGACCCAGAAATGGCTCAAAAAACAACCCACAAATATCTCGAGGCCACTCACAGACAGCACAAAATGAGCCAAAACCGGCTTGAAACTACCCAAAAATGGCTCAAAACGACCCAGGAATGGCTTGAGATGAGCCAAAAATGGCCCAGAACATCCCATAAACGGCTCGAAACCACCCAGGAACGGCTCGAAACCACCCAAAATGGCTCCACGTTGCCCAAAAACGGCTCAAAACCACCCAAAATGGCTCCACGCTGCCCAAAAACGGATCAAAACCACCCAAAAACGGCTCAAAACCACCCAAAATGGCTCCACGCTGCCCAAAAACGGCTCAAAACCACCCAAAATGGCTCCACACTGCCCAAAAACGGTTCAAAGGCACCCAAAATGGCTCAAAATGACCCAAAAACGACTCCAAACCACCCAAAACCTCAAAACCCCCCAAAACCCTTCAAAACCCCCAAAACCATCTCAAACTCCCCAAACTCAGCCCCCTAATTAGCACAGGGGCTGATAATCAGCTCCTGTTTAACTAATTAAGGCCAATTAACACCCTCAGCACCCCCTTAACCAACCTGCCCCTAATTAACGGTGCCAATCACCGCCGTTAACCAGCCCTCCCTAATTAATTATGCTAATCACCGCTGCCAGCACCCCCTCATTTAATTAACGGTGCTAATTAATTATGC